GAGTGCCACACGCCCCTGCCTGATTGGGGTGGTCGAAGGAAACCCTTGTCCAGGGGTGGACACACACACACACACGCACAAACAGGCACCTCAAAATATCCCAAAGTCCGCGTGAAACGCCCCAAACACCAGTAAACACCTCCGTCGCCAGGGCTGCAGGAGATGGAGGGTCCCCATGCTCGGGCACGCGACCCAGCGCTACCCGAAGCGCCACTGGCCAAGAGGTGGGGAAGGAGACGGGGGAGGCTCTGTGAGGCTCACAGAGGTGCCAAGAGAAAGTTCAATGGCCCTCTCCAAAAGGTGATCTCTTTAGGTAGCACGGTCACAGAATGGCCTGCCGCCGTCTTGCAATGGTTTCTGCTGGGGCCCTTGAAGAGAGAGGTGGTTTTGGCCGTTGGGTTTTCTAGGTTTGAGAGGAGCGAACGAATGACATGAGGAGCTGGATACCAAGGCCACGGGGGTGTCCATGAAGCACCCCTTAGGGGCACTGGTATAGTATCCTATAAACTCTAGACGATGAAATATGTATATACCTCATATGGTTTGAAGACACGGACAATTTTTTATACAGTTTTATGATCATGTCGACGTCCTGAAACTAAAGTTGCGTGCGTGTTGTGCCAGGGGTGGATTGACAGTTGCTCCTTCTTGATGTTTCCCTCAAAGGTCTCAGGGGTTTCCCGCTGCTTGAGTCACACTAGAGAAGATTTGCTGTCCGGATGCTTTAAAGATTGGTTTTCGGGGTTCTAGTCTTAAAGACTACACTGTACGAAGGGGAGGACACCCACACTAGTTCAATTGCACGAAAACCCCGGCATACAGACTTCGATGTGCGCAAGAGGGTTCAGAGCTTCCAGTCTTCCAGTCTCGGCTTTACGTGGGGGACGTCTAGGGGACCACATTACACATCCCATTGGGACTTGTTGGCACGTCGTGGACTAGAGCTAAAGGCCCCTGGCCCCACCCCGAGCCCCGATTCGCCTCCGTTCGGTCGCGACCTGGAAGGGTATGATTCAGATCTGCATATTATCTTAAAGCCAAGTACTGCGACATTTACTAAAACGATGGTGGGTCGGGATTTCAACTCATTGTATCAAGCCAGTGGATCCAGGCGGCAAACCACAAAAAAAAGGTAGTCCTAGCCTTCCAAGACCTTCAAAAGATAGATTGACTACTTGTTGTAGTGATAGTAAAACCATGGTTGTTTGGTAGAAACTACACATGGTACTACGCCCCCGTTGTTTAAGACGAACTAGGTGGACCGTCTTCGACCGTAGGGTTTGGGCTCACAGCCTATGTCCTGTGCCCTGTGTGGCACTCCAACGCCGAGCTCGACGCGAAGTGCACCTTTTGTCGAGCGAGAGACAGGTTCTGGCTGGTTTTGGACGATCTGCCTTCAGAACTCAGAGGGTGGGCCATTTCCAATTTGAGGATCTGGACCGGGATTGTGCAAGAGGAGCACGAGAAGTTCATGACTGTCCTGAGGCAAAGGGAGCTTGTGAATAACACCGCAGCGCCCAAATCAGCCGGACCAAGCCTGGCAAGTCAATCTCCTAGTCAGGGGAGATCAGTTGACCCTAAGGACAAAGCGGTCGACTTGAAGGAGGAAGAGACTAGGACCAGTCCGCCTTCGAAGAGAGCAGGAGTCAAAGAGGTAGAAGGAGTGGTAGAGGAGGAAGAAGGAAAGCATTCAAGTTCATCCAAGGCTGCAAAACCTAAAGCTGACACTACATCATCGAGGCCGAGATCACGGAAGCGAAGTAGGAGCCGGAGACGTCGAGACCGGTCCAAGAGTCGTAGGTCGAGGACCCGAAGAGACAGGAGTCGATCCCGAAAGGGCCGGGCAAACGACAGAGGAGAAGGAGGAAAGGAAAAGAAAGCCAAGCCATCCGTCAGACCGCCAAGAACACCCTCACGATCACCGCCGAAGGCAAGGGGAGGACCTCCTCCTAAGCGGCCGCCAGTTGAGAGAGGCAGTGGACCACCAGCTCCGGTCGCAAGACCCACGGGCCGACAGTGGACCGGAACCCTTCGACAGTGGCAGAGGCAGCCCCAATACTGGGGAATCAATAAAGGTCAGAAGAAGAAGGAGAAGCAGTACTACTACCGCAGGTAGTGGAGCATCTCTTTAGACCTTCGATGGCATTGAGGAGACCAGCCGCCAGAGGACGCAGGGCTGGTGAAGCAAGAGAGGAACCTCCTGCAGAAAGGGGAGGAAGAGTAAGGAGGCGCCCAGCTGGGCTAGGCCGGTCAGGAGAGCCGGCACCAGTTCCTGCCCCAGAAGCAGGGAGAGGACGAAAGGAAGAGGCAGGGAAGACGTTCGAAGAAGGCACCTTGACACCATGTCATCAAGTGCCCCTCGACGTTCTACGGAAGAGACTCCCAGTGGAGGTGAATGGAAGCTACTGGGGCCAGAGCGGAGGCATCTCAGGATTGGTCCAAGGTGTCCACGTCCGTGGACGGGAGGACGTGGAGTTGGAAGTGCTGATACAGGGGACAAATCTGGAATCCATCTTGAAGTGGGCGAGCGGTTGCGAGGACAAGTTGATGAGAATCCACTTGTGCGGGGGACGTTGCCCCAGTCCCTTAGACGCCGAGAACCTCCTCCACGGCGAGTTCATGTGCGCCCGCAAAGGGGAAGATCTCCCATGGATGATGAACCTTGTGGCCGAAGGAACCGGAGGAGGGGAGACAGCGCCCATCGAACCTCCTATAGACAAGGGGAGGAAGGAGGAGAAGAAGGAAAAGAAGGACAAAGAGAGAGGACGGAGCAAGGAGAAGGATCGGAGCCGGAAGAGAAAGCGGAGGAAAAGCGGCGAGAGGAGCTCCGAAGACAAGAGAAAACGAAAGAGGATCTCCTTGAGAGGGGAGGCAAAGAAGGGGCTGAAGGCCGTCTATGGAGGCACCGGGATAGATCCCGATCCTCGCTTCAGGCGCAAATTCGCAGCCAAGGCCGCCAAGAAGGCAAAGAAGAGAGGACACAGCTCATCTTCCAGCCACACGTCAGATACCAAGAGTCAGAGCACGAGCGAGAAGAGCATCGAATTGTTTGCAGAAGATCACAAAATCAGGAGGATGGGGAAGCTAGCGCCAGGCGCGCTTACTTGTGCCGCGTTCCGAGAGATCCAGAACTCGTTGTTGACAGCCAGCGGCGGCGTCTGGGATTCGGAAGATGGAGTGATTCCTCCGGTGGCATGTCAGTACTACAGGCAGATCATGCAATCGAGGCTGCAGGGAGGACAGGCCCGCGAGGCCTTGACAGTGGCATGGTCGCTGGATCTCCTTTTACAAGGCAGGACAGCAGAGGCTTGCGACGTCCTCACGCAAAGGTTCAAGAGCTTGGAAATGAGCGGGGCCGGAGCCTCGTGGATGATCTTGCAGAAGGTGGAACTTGTACCACCAGAACGCCCAGTGCTCAGTTCACGTGCAGAGACCCGGGAGGCGATCAGAGAGAATCGGGAAGAACAGAAGACCCGAAGCGAGGCTGCACGGCCGCGAGGAAAGGGGGATTCAGGAAATTCCTCCTGGAGAGACGAAGACAAGGGCAAGGGCGAAGAAGGGAAGAACAAAGGAAAGAAGGGCAAGGAGAAGGGAGAAGGCAAGCGAGCAGAGAAGTGAAGGACAGCAGCTCGCGCACTATGAGCCCAGATCCGAAAGAAGGTGACCTGGCCTCTCAGGAAAGGTCAGAAGCCGATATCAACGGTGTGCCGGCGCGCCTGGCTGGCGATGGTACACCAGGTACAGCTGCCGAAGGGCGACTTTTAGGTCCTGAAGTCCCGGCAGAGCATCCCGCCGACCCGGCCTTTGATCCGAGGTCTGAGCGTGAAAAAGTTTGCATGAAGCCGCCTTGCATGGGAGACCGTTTTGTAGCAGTTGCACCCTGGATGACTTTCACGTTGCGTCAAGCAGTGTCCGTGTTGGGCCTTCCTTTGCAGTGCACGACCCAGCCCTCGGGTGACATTTTTCCGTTGCCCACCAACGTGGAAGTTCTCCAAGCGCACAGTGGTGTCGAATCGAGTGAAGTGGAGATTCTTAGAGGTATCTGCCTGGGGCTGAACTCGATGTATGGTCTTGCTCTTGAGAATGCCTTTCCCCCCAACTCCCACCAAGACGGGGTTCTGAAGTTCTTATTGTCACAATCGCAGGTTGTGTCTTCGTGGGCGGAACACTTTGAGGAAACCAATTGGCATGACTTCTTCAAGCTAAAAACGGTGGACTATACTGGTGAGGAGGTCTTGTGTGCTCAGTACACTAGCTGGGAAAACCTGGCCCCAGCGATGCCCAAGGAGATCGCCTCGGTCCCATTGGTAGAGGTATGCGAGTTGGGGTGCCGGCATTACGTCGAGAATTTCGTGTCGTATGTGCTTCCCGAGGAGATGCGCCAGCCGATGAAGCCTCCTCGAGTGCTCATCACCAATGAGGCCTGGCGAGACGTGTGCAAGGGTCTGTTGGGGAATGGAGTGTGCATTCCCATGTTGGAACAGGATCTCTTCCATGTAGGTGGTCAACCTTTGCTCAACGGCCTTTTTGGCGTTCCCAAGGGGGAACAAGAGCAGGGAGTGGAGATCCACCGCCTGATCATGGATCTAAGGCCCTGCAACAAGGTAGTGAGAGGGATTGAAGGAGACGTGTCCACGCTACCTAGCTGGGCGACAATGGCACCGCTACAATTGATGCCCAGTGAAGATCTGGTGATCTCCTCAGAAGATGTCCGGTGTTTCTTTTATATTTTCAAGATCCCCCGGGAGTGGTCCGCTTTCCTTGGATTCAACCGCCCTATCCCACCGGAACTTTGTCCAGATAGTCAGGGTACATACTATCTAGCCTCTCAAGTCCTTCCGATGGGCTTCAAAAACAGTGTCAGCCTGGCACAGCACGTGCACAGAGTGATGGTGCGAAGGGCAGGAGGTGACAGAGGGGTTCACCTCCAGTCGCATCAAGAGATCAGGAAAGATCGTCCGTTCACGTCACACCCTGAATTGCATAGAGTCTACTTGGTAGTAGACGAGGACGACGGCGCTCCTACAAGGGGAGTTGAGTGAGAGTGTCCTGGCCCTCAGGAATGAGTACGAGAGATGGGGGGTTCCTCGTCACCCCAAAAAGTCAGTGGTCCAAGAACACAAAGCAGAAGTTCAAGGTGCCATCATTGATGGGATCGCTGGGCGAGCATACCCCAAGCCTGTGAAGATCATGAAGTACGCCCAGCTTGCCAGTCTCCTGGTAGGGGAGAAGCGATGCTCCATGAAGCAGGCTCAGGTGGTTGCTGGGGGTCTCGCGTACATGAGTATGTTTCGCCGGCCATTATTAGGCGCTCTCAACTGTGGAAGTTCATCGAGTCCTTCAAGGCTTATCCTCCAGTAGTTCATCTGGAGATTCCTGCTGAGGTCAAGTTGGAGGTGGCTCGGTTCGTGTGCTTAATCCCACTGGCCCAGATGGACTTCCGCCTGAACATCAGTCCAGAAGTCACTGCCAGCGATGCTTCCACCACGGGTGGGGGATTGACAGCGAGCGTAGGGCTTACCGGCTTTGGACAAGCCGCCGCAGCAGCCACAATTCGGGGTGACCTCCCTGAACCCGCAGATGTATGTGCAGTCCTCACCGTGGGCCTATTCGATGGCATTGGCGCATTGCGAGTAGCTGCAGATGCCTGTCAACTGCCCGTGTTGGGGCATGTCAGTGTAGAAGTGAAGAAGGAGGCCAGTCGAGTCCTTGAAAGTAAATTTCCCTCGACACTTTTTGTGGAAGAAGGAGTGGAGGCAGTAGATGATGAGATGGTGAGAGGATGGGCCTGCCGGTTCTCCCAAGCATCAGTGGTCCTCCTAGGTGCTGGACCACCGTGTCAGGGGGTCAGCGGGCTCAACAGTGAGCGACGAGGCGCCCTGAAAGATCACCGAAGTTGTCTGTTCAGCCATGTGAGACGCGTGAAGGAGTTACTCAAGAGGCACTTCAACTGGGCGCAGGTTCGGTACTTAGTAGAGAACGTGGCCTCCATGGATGACAAGGACAGGAGTATCATGACGGAGGATTATGGTGACTACCTGGTGATCATTGATGCAGCAGGGGTTTCACTGGCGAGACGTCCGCGTCTTTACTGGTGTGACTGGGAACTCCTACCAGGGGAGGGTGTGCACATCAGACCATGGAAGCACAGTGGCATGGCAGCTTTTCGGGAGGTTGAGCTTGAGGCACAGGTGGATCCTAAGGAATATCTTCAGCCTGGCAGTGTGAAAGCCAGCAAAGAACCTTTCCCTACGTTTACCACGTCACGGCCAAGGTCACACCCAGGAAGGAGACGACAGCAGAGGAGCGTCAGACTTGGGAGGCAGATGACTTCAGGTTCCCTCCTTATCAATACCAGAAGATCCTGTCCATCGTCGAGTCCAATGGTCAACACCGACTCCCTAGCAGCCGCGAACGTGAGGTCATCATGGGATTTCCCAAAGATTACACGGTTCAGTGTATGCCAAAGCAGTTCCATGGGAAGCCATCGCATGAAGACGAGAGGAAGACATTGATTGGCAACACCTGGAATGTCACTGTGGTAGCATGGCTTCTGGCTCAACTGGGGTCTCAGCTTGGGCTATGTGCCCCGCTTACTCCACAGCAAGCGGTGAAAGCCACTTCCCCAGGTCAGTCTACTTCCTTGAGTGGATTGCTGCACGGTCAGCCCATGAAGAAGATATCCAAGACAGCCAGCAAGGGGGAGTGCATGTTAGTTGCTAAACTCCTGAATCTAGTCAGTCTCAAAGGGGAGGACATCATGGTCCAAGCATCCACGGAGGAAACTTTGAGGTATCATCGATTACGTGCCAGCCTGCCGGCATCGTTATGGAAGTGGAAGACCATTATGGGGTGGCACTGGCATGGAAGCGCGGAGCACATCAATGTCCTTGAGTTGCGGGCAGTACTCACGTCCTTGAGGTGGCGGATCGTTAAGAAGCACGCTATCAGATCGAAATTTGTGCACATGATCGATAGTTTAGTGTGTTTGCATTCGCTCTCTCGTGGTCGAAGCAGCAGCCGAAAACTTCGTCGTACTATGAGTCGTGTGAACGCTTTGCTCCTGGCCAGTGGGTCCCATGCCGTATGGGCATATGTTCATACGGGGGACAATCCAGCAGATCGGCCTTCTCGAAGGCCTGTCCGGAAGAAATGGTGAGGAGAAAGAACGCCCATCTTGAGGGCAGGGACAAAGCCACGCGGCAACAGCAACGACGAGTATTAGGCCCATTGAGGAACCTTACAGTGCAGCCTGCAACCCGTGAAAGGTATGATCGTGCTCTAGAACGCTTTCGTCAATTCCTGAAAGAAGAAAACAGACAGTTTCCCTGTGATCCAGGACCATTAGATCACTGGCTCAGTCACTACATTGAGACCCTTTGGGAAAGCGGAGAAGGCAGAGCCCTGGCCGCAGATACCATCGCATCCGTTCAGGATCATCTTCCTTCGGTCAAAGGACGGTTGGCAGCGTCGTGGAGGTTGATGAAGACATGGGCGACCAATGAGATCCCTAACCGGGCACCACCGCTTCCCTTACAAGCTCTGCAAATGATGATTGGCCAATCGCTGTTCCAGAACGATGATCTCTTTGCCTTGTCGTTACTCCTCGCTTTTCATGGCCTCCTAAGAACAGGGGAGGTACTAGGGGTGCACAAGGCGCACTGCCAGCAAGCTGGTCCTCGCAGTGTAGCTGTCATCTCCCTCGGGATGACAAAAGGGGGAAAAAGACAAGGAGCGGCGGAAAGCATCACCATCAGGGAGGAAGATCTTCTGCGTCGATTATGGCAATGGAAAAGCACACCCCATGCTAGAAGTATGCTATGTGAAGCACCACACACCTGGCGCAAAAAATTTTCAGCCTGTCTTGACGCATGTGGTCTAGGTGACTACCAGTTCCGCCCCTACAGTCTAAGACGTGGGGGGGCCACTTGCTACTTCTCAAGGTATGGATCACTCGATCGCCTTCTCCTTTTGGGGCGGTGGCAGGCTGCAAAGACAGCCCGGGTGTATATCAACGAAGGTCTAGCCACTTTGGCTGAGCTAAGACTACAAGGTAATTCTCAGGCGCAAGCCTACCGACGCCAATACATACGGTCTAAGAGTGTAGAGCTCCAACCCCTTGAGCGTGCCCGTAAGGGCAGGCCGGGGGACAATGGAAAGAGCAAGAAATCCAGGAAATCTGGTCGGAAGAAGGGCAAGAA